GGAATCCCTGGATATGCTCCCACCTATCCACCAAGCCTCCTGGGTCACCTCTGCCATGACCCCATTCCCGACAACTTGCTGCTTGCATTTTCATTGCCATGTGCTTGTTCCTGCTATTCCTGTCCCTTCCATCCCAAAAGCCCCCGAAGAAAGCCTTCTCTAGGATGACTTCCTTGATTGATCACTACCATGGGGCCTACCCCTTCATCTGGTCATTCAGCTAACAGCCAGAAGCACCTACCACACACAGGCGCTCGAAAGCAGTGGAGTACCAGGCACAATGAGAGTTTTAAAAGACCCCAATGTGGAAACGGCCTATGGTGTCCCAGGTGAAGACCCACCTGGGGTTTCCTACCCACAGACTAAACCTCTTCAGGAACTTTTCTGATGACCTTGGATTCCCCACCAGGACCTTGAGGAGCTCCAACTGTGTGAGGTCTAGGGTCACTTGGGTCCTCCCCCCTCTCTCCTTCAGTTTCAGAAGAGCAGGGCCCACAGAGTGAGGGGAGGTGGGTCTAAACTTGGGGTCCTTAAGGGAAGAGGAAGGGCAGGAAGAGGGGCACTCCCCGCTCTGTCCTCACCCAGATCCACAACTGGGGAAACAGGTTTGCCAGCTGGTGTCAGCTCTCACTGCTGAAGGGAGAGGGCGCAGGTGTTGCTGGCTGGGTGGTGGCTGACTGATAGAGGGTCTCTTAACACCCTCCATCGGTTCCACACCTTACCTTACACTCCCCCTTCCCCAAGCACACCCACAATAGGTTCCCTAGCAGGGTTCAAAGTGGCAGGGCAGTGCTATCCCTTCCTGGGAGCCCAGCACAGAGGGGTGGAACCCTGTTCCTGAAGCAGGAGCAGTCAGGCAGGAAGGCATTGGGGGAGCCCCGCCAGGCTTCCTCTCTCCAGGCTGCCTGGCCCCACCCAGCTCCCGAGTAAGCTCACACATCCTGGATTTGTTTGCCTGGCCCCAAGCTGCCCCCTGCCTGCCCAGGCTTCCTAGACTACCACCAGGCAGCCTGGGCCTGTAAGGTGAGGAGCTGGGGGAGATGGGAGACCCAGCACAGGCATGAGGGCTAAGCACCTCCTGAGGGGATAGGGGGTGACCATATGCATTACTCAGCTAGAAGGGGCATCTGGAGGCAACCATGCAGGATGGAGGTACAGTCCTGGAAGCTTTACCAAGACACCCCAGCAGCCAGCCACCCAGCTGGAAGACCCATCCATCATTAACATCCCTCAGACTCATCACTGGTTTAAGCCTCCTTCATTTGAGGACCCCAAACCAGCCCAAGGCCATAGGACAATTGGAGAAAGAAAGGCTATGGGCAGGTTTCCCTCAGGCTAGAGCAAGGGGACCCCTTGGAGCCAGGAAAGTAGAAGCCTACTCTGGCCTGAACTAGTCTGAGGGGCTATCCCTCTACAAAGTCCAGGCAGCCCCTGAGGTCAGGGCTCTGTCAATTCTACAAACAGGGAAGTAGAGGCTTAGAATTGCAAAGAACTTGGTGTGGGTCACACAGAGAGAGACTCTATTCCATGCACTGCCTCCTGCCAGGGGCTTGGACCTTTCACAACCTGAGTGAACCAAAAAGGCTGTGGTCCTTATGGCTTGTACTCTAGGTCCCTGGGAGACCACTGGCTAGCCTTTTCACAGAGGGCTAGGTGATTTGAGCATGAACTTCCCCCCAGTGAGAAGCTGCTCATGGGCATACAATGGTCCATTGTGCCCAGGGCACACCTGAGCCAGAAGCACATGCCTGGCAGGTGCAGGGAGGCAGCACCCTGGCATCTCTCCCTGCTGTAAATGCAAAAGAAAAGTGGATGATTATGTGTGCGACCGAGTTTGGGGGACAACAGTTCAGAGTCACTCTGATCACATTCTGAGGCCACCTTAGGTAGTTCCTGAAACCAGTGAGGAAGGTCAGAGGGAAAGAGCTTCTCTCTATTCCTTGTAAACATCCTTTCTGGCCTCAACCTCTCCACCAGCCTCCCACCCCAGAATGGAAGTGGGGTGGGGCTACCTCAAGGCCTGGGAAGCTCACCACTGCCACTTCTCTAGGGGAGTCTGAGGTGACTCAAGTCAGACCTGTAGTAGAAGCACATCTTCCCCCACTGCACCTGCCAAGATCCCCCCAGCCCACTCAGACTCGTTGTTGGGCACGACCAACCCACCCGGCTTCACTGGCAGGCGAGGCAGTCCACATGCAAACTGAGTTCCCCTCCCTCTTTCGGTCTGGCCAGTCTCTTGTTCTTTCCCGGCCTCAATTTCCCCACCTATAAAAGGGGGATGTGTCCGGACACTAGAGGCGGCCGCTAGCGCTGTCCCTCGATATAAGTGCCTGAGGCCCGGCACACACGTGTGCTGGGCTGGAGCACACCCGGCGCGCGCGCCTGTTCGCGGCCCAGGCAGTGCCCGGGCGCAGGTGCAGCAGGCACCGGGTGCGCGGAGCTGGGGGCACAGCGGGCGCGGGGCGGGCTCACCTGCGCGTAGTAGAGCAGCCACAACTCGTAGAGCCGCTCCGAGGCGGCCATGGCCTGACCCGGCTCTGCCCCTGCTGCGCGCCACCTGTCGCCTCCTCCTCCGCGCCGCCCGCCGGTTGCCTCCGGCCAGGCCCATGGGCGGAGGGCGTCACTCCTGGGCGGAGCGGCGCGGGACTGCTGGGGGAAGTCCGCGGCTCCGGCCCTCGCCGCTTTCAGCCTCTAAGTCTACAGCTCCTCCTCCACCTCATCCCGGACGGCCGCCACCCGGCTTCCTGCACTTTGCTGCCGCCAGCGCCGCCGCCTCCGCCGACACCGCCACCCCGCCTCTCCCGGGACCGTGCAAAGGGCGGGGAGCCCGGCGAGAGGAGGAGCCTGAGGTCAGGGCGGCCCAGGAGTCGCACCGCTGCCCCGCCCTCGCAGGCCGCGCCCCACCGGCGCTACTGGAAGGGTCGTTCTGTACCTTCCGGATCAGGGCAGGCCGCGGGGCTACCAGGCTTGCTTTGGGTCTGAGTTCCCCCGCTAAGCATCCCGCCTAGTTTGGAATTATCGCCATTCAAGGAAGGGGCTATGGGCAGCGAGGGAACTGCCAGGGTCATTCAACAAATAACAATAACCACCTCCTTGATGACCACTTGTAGTGACCACGTGCCAGATGCTGTTATAAGCTCTTTATGGGAAGATCTAAATACAACTTTTGAGTTCCTGCTGTGTGTGGAGCGGGAGGATCCGGGAGCAAACAGCAGGAGGAGCCTGAAATACCCCCAGGAGAGTGGTGCCCTTCCGTTGGGCTGATCCCTGAGTGGTTTTGATGATCCCCATGACTTCCCTCCTCTAGGAAGCCTTCCCAGATGCTCCCAGTGGAGGCACTCCCCAAACCAGAGCCCAGCACTTCTTTTACATCCTTTGCACTTTGGGGGTAGGGGGAAGATACTGGGGATTGAATCCAGGAATGCTCTATCACTGAGCTACATCCCCAGCCTTATTTATTTAATTTGTTTGTTTGTTTGTTCATTTGTTTATATTTTGAGACAGTGGGTCTCTAAATTGCTAAGGCTGGCCTCATCCTCTTGTCTCAGTCTCCTGAGTCGCTGGGATTACAGGGATTATTCTGCAATCAATCATCTTTTTCACCTTTAACCTCATGAGGTGGGTGACTCATGACTGGTTTACAAGTGGAGAAACTAAGGCCAAATGAGGATCACAGGGATAGGGACCTAGAACCTAAGCCTAATTGATTGCCATCATCACTCCTGTGTCCCTTTCCCTGTCCCTAGCCTGCCTGTGAACTGAGGGGGACCCTGATGTTGGGCAAGGGTCAGGCCCCATGTTGGAACTGGGAGGAAATTTGCCAGCCCCAGAGAGGTGCCATGGTTCCTAGGATTGACTGATCTTGAGTTCCCTAGACCTTGGGTGTCCAAGAGAAGACAAACCTTTTCCCCATCCCTGTACTGTTTTGTCTTCCTTGGCTTCTTGTTTGGCCCCTTCAGTCTGTCCTTTTCTTCTGCCCCATCCATCCTGCTTCTGAGTTGACATTTCCTGAGCACCTACAACCCATGAGCTGGTTCCTGGCGGGACATGTCACCTGCAGTGGGGGAGAGGGCCTAGAGAGAACCAGGTTAGTGAGGTCAAGAGGGCAACTGAGCTGGATCGGAGGTCTGAGGCAGTTGGGCCTCTGAAGTGGGTTGGAAGGGGAGGAGTGAGTGTCCATTTGTGGATAGCCTGGGAGGTCCCAGGCAGGGAACAGCCTTAAAGGCTAGTTGTTCTCTGGGAAGGGGTGTGGGTGTGACTTTGGAGACTCCACATAGACAGAAGAACTCGACTTCAGCCCAGGTGTTCTGTTATTAATGCGCTCTGATTGATGCAGAAAAGATCCTGGCAGCTAGGGTGCCATGCATCTTGTGACCACCTGTTGCACTCAAGGCCAAAGCAATTCTTCCTAACTGGAGTTGGGAAACTATTCCTTTGGGCTCATTTGGCCCAGGTTGGCGTTTGCTTTTCTTCAGAGACGGTAGCCTATCCTGAGTACTTTGCCGCTCCAGAAGAAATGGGGATGAGAGGAAATCACCTGTGAGTCCAGAAGGGGAAAAAAACACATAGTCAGGTTCAGCACTGTGCCAGCTTCGAACTGAGAACAGACAGAAGAGCTTAAACGCACTTGATGGGGCGAGCCATAGACAGCTCTAGAGGAGGGATAGGAAGACTACTGTTAGAGAGGGATCGGGTAGAAGGATAAGGAAGCTTTCTTGAAAGGATGGCTGGGGTATTACAAGAGGCCCGCAGGGAGTGAATAAGGTGTGTTTAGTGCTTAGGTGAGAACAGAGCGATCGATGAGATCTATTCTCTCAGGTCTGACTCGATGCTTTCTCACTGTGTAGCGGTAGACACATCGAGCCTTAACACCCCAGGGCCTTTTTTTTTTTTTGCCTGCTCCTCACTGGCGCGGCGAGGCGAGAGGGCGGGCCCTCCTGCAACAAGTCAACACTGATTGGTTCTTGGGGTTTCCTGTCACCCATTCTCTTTCTCGGTTTGGCCGTGAGACTTTTATCCACTGCCCGACCTGCGTGACGTAGGGAGAAAGGAGGGGTCGAAGGCAGGATGGCGGCTGCTGCGGCCGGTGTGGGCCGCCTAGAGGAAGAGGCGCTGAAGAGGAAGGAACGGCTCAAGGCCCTACGGGAGAAAACAGGACGCAAGGTGAGGGACGTGGAATGAGGCTGTAGTCGAGGCAGCCCGAGTCCAGGGTCCACACGGAAGAGCTGGGGACTAGGGGACGGTAGCTGGGAGGCGCGCCTGCGCGGACACTGGCGCATGCGTGGGGAGACTGCACCGCCCCCGTGCTGGGCAGTTCCGGGGCGGGTGTGGAGGCAGCTGGGCTGTGTGTAGCTGTAGCTCCTACCTGCTGGTCGGTGGTTGTTCGGTCGCTGCTAGTTTCAGTCGGTTGTTGGGTTAGGCATGATTTTTCCCTGGCCGGACCTACTTTTCACTCGCACGCGGGAGTTCTTGCATTAGGTAGACACTTCTGCGCACCTTGAACAGGGCCGCAGGAGACGTTGAGTGCAAAAATCCCGAGGAAAAGATGTCAGGAGCCGGAGCCGGGCGCCGTATCGCACGCCCGTAATCCCAGCAGCTTGGGAGGCTGAGGCAGGAGGATCGCGAGTTCAAAGTCTCAGCAATGGCGAGTTGCTAAGCAACTCAGTGAGACCTTGTCTCTAAATAAAATACAAAATAGATCTGGGAGCTGTGGCTCAGTGGTTGGGTGCTCCTGAGTTCAATCGCTGGTACCAAAAAAAAAAAAAAAAAAAAGGTAAAAGGGTGGACTGCAGGGAAAGAGCCAGATTCAGAAGCTTTTCCCGTGTTTTCCTTTGCCACCAAAATGGTCTGAATTTATTTTTACTTCTTTCCAAAGTAGTGGAGAGGTAGGAGAACTCTGAAATTCACTGCTTGTGTGCAGGCGTGGGCCCTGTCACTTGAGGCTATGGGGCTTGGAACAGATTGCTTCAGATCCGAGGCCGGGTTTTTTTCATGTCTGCAGTGGGGGAAAACATCCTCTTTTCATTCTCACTGGGTTGTTTTGCGATCTAATGGGATAATCTGTATGAAAGGGCTCGAGAGATTATAGAGTGTAAGGTTGATGGTTCACTTGTTGTATGGGCAAAAAACTTTGTCTTTTACTCTAAGTACAAAGAATTTTATTTTATTTTATTTTTTTTAGAGAGGGAGAGAGAGAAAGAGAGAATTTTAATATTTATTTTTTAGTTATTGGCAGACACAACATCCTTGTTTGTATGTGGTGCTGAGAATCGAACCCAGGCCGCATGCATGCCAGGCGAGCCGGCTATCGCTTGAGCCACATCCCCAGCCCCAGTACAAAGAATTTTAAATATCGAAATCTGCCTGGGGGAAAACAAGGACTCCACTTTCCAACTTAAAAACAAAACCAAGCTGGCCACCAGTGGGGCCTCTTTTTTCTTTCTGTATAGCTGTCCCTGTCCTGTGGGAAAGCGAAAGAGGAAGTAATAGAGAGTGAAAGCTAGCCAGATTGGCTTCTGCTTTTGTTGGCAGTCCATGGAACCCATCAGACAGTTGTCCCCTAAAACAGACTGGCCCAAGAAGCTCAAGACACAGCCTTTCAAACAGTTGCATAGTCTACAGGGGCTGTTTGTTTGATTTAGGGCTCAGGTTATTGGGACCTGGTTTGAGGTCTGAATACAAGGGGCAGGATGCCATTCTCAGAGCACATTGCCATGGAAAAGATGTACCAGGTCCTCTGAACTGGCCTTTAAGGAGGAATTCTCAATGGGCTGGAAAAAGGCTTGTTAATTTTTTTCCTGCATTTAAAGACTACACGAGGGCTAGGGTTGTAGCTCAGTGGCAGAGGGCTTGTCTGGCATGTGTGAGGCACTGGGCTTGATCCTCAGCACTAAAAAAAAAAAAAGTTTATAATTTGGGTTATTCTAAGTGTACCATTCAGTGGCATTAATGTAACCATACTTCAATCTATTTGCATAACTTTTTCATCATTCCAACAGAAACTCCACATGTTAAACAGTAACTCATCATCCCTCCTTCCTTTCAACCTCTAGCAATAACCATTGTCTTTATGATTTTGATTACTCTTATGTATCCCATAGGTTGAATCAAACAGTATTTTTTCACTTAGCATAAGTGTCTTCAAGGTTTATCCATGTTGTTATGTGTGTTAATTAAAATAATCTAATTCTTTTTGTGCATGAGTGTGGGGGCGGTGGGGGAGGTTCTGGGGATTGAACCCTGGGCCTCATTCATGCTAGGCAAGCACTATATCACTGGGCTACATCCCTTGCCCTGGACCATGTTTTTAATTGAGTTGTCTTTTTGTTGCTTAGTTGTAGTTGAGATGTTTATGTGTTTGATATGTTAAACTTTTAATAATTACATAGAGAATTTGCTAATATATTTTCCCATTCTTTGGGTTGTCTTTTTATTCTCATGGTAATGTCCTTTGGTACGCAAAAGTTGTTTTTGTTTTTTTTCTTGATGGAGTCCAGTTTGTCTGTTACGATTTTGTTGTCTGTTTTGTTGTCTGTGCTTTCTGTGCTTTTGCTGTCATATTTAATCCCCTCAGTTCTTGGGTGACTTTTTTTTTTTGTCGTTGCTGGGGATTGAACCCAGGGTCTTTCATATACCAGGCAAATGTTCTTCCACTGAAATATATCCCCAGCCTTGAACGGCTTTTTATTAGGGTAAATGTGTGGGGGAAAAGATAGGCAAGCATCTATATTACTTTGAGTTAGTTTTCCATCCCATAGTGTCTTCTTGCAGAACACGTAAGTGAGGAGACTGAAAAGGAAGTATGAACTGTCTGCTGCCAGCAGATAAGCTCCCAGGAGTCTTCTCCTTTAGAAAGGAAGTGCTCTACGATTTTAGTTAAGTCCTTTGATGTGACAAAAGACTCCAGGGTTAAATTCTTTCTTGGTCTGTATCTATTTGTCCTATGGGGATTACTTCTTGCTGGTCCCCTAGTACCCGTTGGCAAGCTCCTCATTGAGTTCTGCACGCCTGATTTTGCTGGAGGCCTCAGGATTTCAGCATGGGGTTGGTTTCTCACAGTTTTATCTTCTCACCCCACACCAGACTGTAAAATCCTAATTAGTGGTATTATGGATGAATCAGAGTCCTGAGATGGGGGCAGGTGAAGAGAGAAAAGATTAGGGGTTGCACTGTTTCCATATATTATTCAGCATAAAGCTCTATAGTAATAGGTCATGGCTCTGTATTTTGCAAAGCACTTCCTTGTCAGCTCACTCAACAGGACTGGTTTTTGAGGGGGTAAGGCAAGAGGCTCAGAGGTGCTGGGATGCCAAGATCTTGGATGGGAAATGGGGTCTCTGGGTTCCAGCCTTTATAGGTCCCCCTGAGGGAAGGGTTCCGTACAGGACACAACACTGCTTGAGAAAGTGTCCTGTGATCAGCTAGCCCTGCTGGACAGGTGGAAAGATGGCATACAATGTTAGACTGTACTGCTGGGGCTCATAGCCTAGGAAAGCCAGGTGGAGTCAGGAAAATTTCATGGAAAGGCAGCTTGGAACTTGAACTGAGCCCAAGAGTGGGCAGGAGGGAGAGTATGTTGAAGGAGCTGGAAAATGAGAGCGTTCCAGGAGAGCTTTCATAGGTGGGAACATTCAGGGGCACAGGGGTGACAATGGAGCTGCTCCATAGGGTTTGACAACAAGCACTGGGGAGTAATTAGGGCAGAGTCTGAAAGCAATGGCCTGGGTGCTTTGGTGTCCAAGTTCTACAAGAGTCAGGGTTTCCAGCTAGGAGGATATCCAGCCTGGGCATACTTTGCTGTATTGTATTTGAACCTCTTCCCTTGACATTCTTCCAGAAATTCCAAGCTGAGGAGCAGGTGAGCAGTTCAAGGCTGTGTGAATGGTGCTCTATGGTATCTCTGTGCTCTCAGCAGGGTAGTGTATGGCTACTTTGTCCTCCTTTGACCTCTTTCTTCTTCAACAGTCAAATGGAGGCTCTCATAAGTGATTAACTTGACACAAATACTCGCCCTTGGCTGTTGGCTTTCCAGAACAGTTGGCTTGAATTGGGCTTTCTCTTGCTACCCTGAGATGGAGAGACAGACTGGCTGACTGACCAGCACCTTAAGAGTTGGGTGTGATCTTGGACTGAGCTCTGGTTGTTAGCAGCAATTCCTGTTTTTTTTTTTTTTTTTTTTTTTTTTTTTACCAGGAAGTGAATAGAACAGGACTATGCAATAGAATTTTGTGCAGTGATGGTTTTCTGTAATCTATACTGTCCTGTTCTGTCGCCTGAAGCCACTTGTGACTTTTGAGCCCTCGAAATGTGGCTGATGTGATATTTTATTTAATTTACGCTTAAATGACCACATGTAACTTGTGGCTACCTTATTGGGCAGTACATCTCTGAGGACCTGCTCCTCCTAGCCCAACTCCTTTTTTTTTTTTTTTTTTTTTTGGTATCAGGGATAACTTAGGGGCACTTAACTACTGAGCCACATCCCCAGCCCTTTTTGTATTTTATTTAGAGATGGGGTCCCGCTGAGTTGCCTAGGGCCTTGCTAAATTGCTGAGGCTGGTTTTAAACTCCCGATCCTCCTGTATTAGCCTCCTTAGTGGCTGGGATTACTAGCCCAACTCTTAAGAAACTGTGTCTTGGGGCTGGGGTTGTGGCTCAGTGGTAGAGCACTTGCCTCGCACATGTGGGGCACTTGGTATTTGGTTTGATACTCAGCACCACATAAAAGTAAATAAATAAATAAAGGTATTGTGTCCATCTACAACTAAAAGTAAAAAATCTTTAAAAAAACAAAACCAAAAACCTGTCTTTCTACCTTCATCCCATTATTCAGAGTTAAGAGGGAGAGGGTAGATAGAGAAACCCATAAGGCCATTCAGACCAGCCTTGGGAGCTTGGTTTGGGCAGAGGACTTAGAAGTTCTGTCTTCATGGTAGGTACCTCTGGGAAATGCTGGTTCCAGGACTTCTGTGCATGTGTATCTGTGGAGTGGAGAGTGCTGTAGATGTAATTTGCACATTCAGGAGTTGGAGAATGGGAACAATGCCAAAGTAGAGGGTATACTACTGACTTGGAGGTACCAGAGAGGGTCCCTGGCCAGTGTAGGGGGTGGGACAAAAGAAGGAGCCAGTGGGTGGAGTCAGTAAGTGTTGAAGAAGGTATGG